TTCGTGTCAAAAAGAATTATTTTAGTCATGTTAGTTAGTGGTTAGTGGACACAAAATATCATAAATTAATATTGAATGAATAATAATTAAAGTAATATAATGGTACAAACGGTAAGAATTTCAATTTTGATTCAAATTTTTAATAACATCACGTTTCACTTTGGCGTTTAACTTTGGCGTGCTAACTGGCATGCTGTTCGAAACGTAGTAGATATTTATGCATAAATTTTATCTTACAATTAGTCTATGCCATTATCTTTTTAGCAACATTTTTCAATTTCTTAATTTTTTTAATTTCTTAGATATGCAAATATATATGAAATATATTTTTTTTCTCCTTTCTTAAGTTATTTAAAAAAAAAAAATATAGAATTTTATAAATTTCACAATTATACATGAAATTATACATGAATATATAATCTAAAATGTGATGCAATCAGAATTAAAGAATTTTTATCGAGGAGTTTAGTCCTCATTTAAAAAAAAGTTGGATGATTGAAGTATATAATGTATTCTTGTTCTTCATAACGTTTTTTGTAGTTCCAATCGAAATTAAATCTTGGAAAAAAGATTTATAATGATAATAGAAGAAACAGATTTACCGTGCGAAAGAAAAATCGTATAATATGATTTCATTTTAATAAAACAATAAGTGCATTTATCAATTGAATCGTATAAATTTTTCTATTCCTGCGATTCTTGTGAAAACGTCGACTTTATTGAAATTTTCTATCGAGCACAATAGGGTAGTTGGTTATATAATTGTCTCTGTCAACATGATATATGAAAGTGAATCATAAATTTAACAAAATATCCAATGTATGCTCATTGCAAAATTCATGGTAAGATTGAGATTCGTTTTATTGTTTTCTTATCATGTTGAGAAAAGACCGCTATAATTCTTCCTCCGCTTCACTTTTTATGATGTAAAAATTTGATTTAACAATTGAATTCATTAAAAACTGTAAAACTGTGAAATATAAATTCTAAATATATTAAGTTCCTTTGATTCCTTTTCTAGATGTTCAACTATTTTAAATTTTATTAAATTAATTAAATATATATAACTAAATATTAATAATATTATATCAAAAAGATTTTTGTCATTGATAAAGACTATTATTAGATAGCTTGAGTTTGTAAGACAATTGTGATAATCAATAAGTGATTATTATTTTTTATCAGAATCAATTGCAATAATAAATTTTTATGCAATTCTCCAAATCTGAAATTTATTCTGAATAAATTTTCATCCATTATGAACTCAAGAATTTTATTAAAGATATAGAATTTCAGAATCTTAAATTTTTCTTTTGAATCTTTTTTGTGATATATATTTGCAGTTTCAGAAAATAATAAAAAAAAATAACTATTTTTTTCTTTTTTATATTTGTAAAACTATTATATTTGTAATACATTTATCTTGTTTGTAGATATAAAGAAGAAAAATGAAGCAATCCTGTTTGATAAATATAAAAATGAGAGAGATATTCAAACAAAAAGACTAAAAAAAAAAAAAANAAAAAAAGGTAGAGTTTGTCATTTTTTTTTTATTTAAAAGAAAATTATGATAAAGTATAAATGTACAATTAAAGAAGCTTAAGATCATTTAGAGATAAAAAGTTTGTTTTCTGATAATTTTAAATAAATTGCTAGAAATGTTTTAACTTAATGTTTTTTAATTATATAACGAAAAAAAAAACAAAACGTTTACTATTATACAAACTATAAAAATGTTTCTCTTCAAAAGAAGGCTAAAAAGCTTGAATTTGCAAGAAATCATATGAATTGAGTATATCTTAATACCTATTTTAATGGTGAAAAAGAATTTAATTTAAATGATGGTTGTTCGTTTTCTTCCTGGTGGATAAAATGTCTCCTAGAAAATATATGAATTAATGTTTTAAAATATCGAGGTTGCAAAAATAATACTTTTAACATAATGAAACATAATAATTAAAATATTTCAATACAATAATATGTGATCATATATACAACTAAATTAATTGAAGACTTATAATTGAAGACATAAGAAACAAGAAATAAATTGTATTTATATCACATAATTGTATCACATAATTACCGGATATGAACATCGGATTGAAAATGTTTAGAGATATTTATCAAGACAAATTTACATAAATAATCGGCAATTTTTTTTTACCAGGAAAATCTTGTAAATGTTATAAAAATCGAATGGGAAAAAATACCACAATTTTATTCAAACGTATTATATAAATCAATAAATAATATTTTTAACACATGATAATAAATCTTTTTTTATAAATCTATTTTTCAAGTTATAAATGATAAAGATATAAAAAAAAATAAATAAAACGTATTTATTGGATATATTGTTTGTTATATTTTAATTACTATGCGTTTATTCAAGTGATGCAAGAATATTCGTATCTTTTTCCATAAAACTTTTTTTCTATTGATCAATTATTTAAAACATATTTAATTAAGTGTCAGTTATACATATAATCTTTCATGTATTAAAAATATATTATTTATAAAATATTAATTTTAAATAAAACATAAATTCTTCTTTCTAAATTAATTAGAAAATAATATTAATCTCATTTCTTTTTTTTGCCACAATTTCTATATTGTTTAATGTTCTTATTGCATAAATAGTCATTTAAATGTAAATCTTTAATGACAAAACTTTTTTATTCGACTACATGTTGATCATATAAATATAATGTATGCAAATATTGTCTGCAGACACTGTCTTTTGTTTTGCGCTTTGACAAAAGACAAAGACTGTCCAGACTATTGGATAACGTCTACAGTTGGTATAAACAATATCATAATGTTATGAAATCGATAAAACATTCAAGTTTATATGTTTGAAGAACTGAAACAACCATTTGAAACAATATATTAAATAAAGATAAAAAGTAAAATTTAAAACTGTACATGTTAATTTACAATTAGAATTGTTTTTTCTTTCATTCAATATATACAAATTTATTCAGTATTATACAAATATTTTCAGAATTACTACGTCTTGATTAATCATCAAGTGAATGAATGGTTTCATCGATAATGTAGATTCTCATTAATTTATTTATGTTGATTAAAAATATAATTGAACTATTAATAAAATCATTTACTATTAAGTGGAAATTATATAACGCATCAAAGAGTTTATTTATATTTACATGTATTTAAATATATTTTTTTTATTTCCAACAAAGAAATTACTTTGTGAAATTAATTATTTATCTTATTATTACATTAATTTATATATCAAGATAATATACCTATTTGATAGTAACATATAAATTAAATTAATAAGAATAATATTAATTAATATAATAATAATTAGGAAATAAGTATTTTATGATTTCACTCTATATATTACCTCCATTATTTAATTCATGGATCTTATATGCAAATATCTATAGACAATTTTTAAAAACGTGTATAACAAACTTATAAACATCTGTTCACAAATTATCATCTTTTCTTTCATCTATATATATGTATATAATGATTATTGTGAATAACTGTTGATAACTTTTTTATAAATCCATATCACCAATTAAAAAATTTACAAATTTTAATCAATAAAAATATATCAAACAGAAATTCAAGATAACAATAACGGTATTCATAAGAACGCCATATCTTGGGTTACTAATAGGTGCGCATACAATTAGCTTGAGAATTATTGCTATAAATAATCTGTACATGTTTGAAATAATTTTTTATGAAACAAACAATTATAATTTTAAAATATTGTTGAATTAATTTTAATATTAAATTATAAAATATTAGATTTAAATTTATTTAAATGATGAAATTTTTATTTATTTTTCATAAAGAAAATTGAGTTTTATGGATGAAGTATAAAATAGACTTAACATTTAATAAAACTTTGTATCATATGTTCTGAAATATCGATCGTGTAAAAAATCAGAGCTGTTGATATGCCCTCTATGATAAATTGATCAGTGTAAGAGTTATCAATTCAATTAAAAGATTAGTTAAGTTAACAAATTCAAAAAAAAAATTTCTTTGACATCCTTTCTCTGATAAATATTCATTTCATAAATATGCATTATATTTCATAAATATATATTGTATTTTGTTAATATATGAATTAAAAATTATTATAACATAATAAAAATAATATAAATTTGTGAGATTTTTATAAAAATGGATTTAAAATATATTATAATGTTATTAAAGTTGAATAAATTTATTTATATTATTTGTCTTTAAATTATTTGTAAATTTATTTTTATTATTTATATTATATTGTTAGTATACCATTACAAATGTTTTTATGCAATACAAAAGTAAAACAATACAAAAGATTAAATTGATAAATTCTATTAAAATTTTTAGTTAGATAAAGAAGATAATAGAATTTAATCATAGGCGACTTATATCACATATATAGATGTAATATGAAATGTTCTTTTAGCTTAAGCTTAAGAATTTCTTATTTTCTTATTATTTTTGTATTATATGTGATATTATTGATGTAGAAAACGATTAAACGTTAATAGATTGGAATTAAAATCTGATTTTATTATAAAAATGAGACATAATAGATCAAAACTTAAGAACAAATTAAAAATACATATACAGAAACAATTAAAACATTTTTTGAATTGTAATCTTGTATTTATACAATGTAAATGATTATGAAACAAATAATTATTATAGTAATTTAATTTTTTTTTAAGTTATTACATTCTAAGCATATGAACAAATTTTTATTTTTACAGACATTATATTTTTGTATAATTTAATTTGAATTTTTATTTTAAATGTTTAATTATATTTTAGTTTTTCTAATTTGGATAATTTTTAAATAATATTATGATAATCATAATATAATTATGATAATCTATTATTTATTCTATATATTATTATATTTTTAATTGAAATATTTTTATAAAATTTCAATATATATAAATTTATAATTAAAATATATTTATACTTTAATTTTCGCGCGGCTGAATAGAGAACTATTTTATTTCAGCCAATCAGAAAGCTCCTAAGATCTAACGGTGCGCTACGGCGAGATGAGTTTCTGCGCATCACAGTGCGCATGATATTAGTCTACAGTTGAAAATTGTGGTGACAGGACGTGTTTCGCCGGCAGAAGTGTATAATTACGTGTAATTTTTATTGATAGAATATTATATTAAGCTTAATTATAGATTATAAAGATTTGTTTAATTAATATGTGTTTGTTTAATTACTATTATTACAGAATTAAATATGTTTGTGACAAATTATCGTATGTTTGAAATTCGAAGATGGAATGGTCGAAAGTATAATAGTTTTACACACACACACACACACACACGATGAT